GTTGCAACATCTCATAACGTGCCTCAAACTGAGTAGCTTATCACTGAGAAACGTCCTGCTCGAGTCGTCCTTGCGATGGAGGTTCGGGTTGAATAACTAGTAGTTCTTCCAGTGTTTCATCGATTCGTCGCACTCGCGCTCGGATTGATATGGTAAAATCGACGTCATTGTTTGTTGCTGTGTTTAGTTTACGGTGTAGGAAGCCTCAGGACAGCTGACGTTGTTATGGCAGTGGGCATTTTTGTTGACACGGGTGCTGTATGTGGTAAACCAATCACATCAGACTGAGCTGTCTGGCCAATCAGAGCAGAGTAGCTCACGGAAGGGAGGGATTTGGAGAGATTGATTCATCTGACAAGTCGTTTGAGAAACATTGAAAATGTGGTGATGTGCAAATGTATTTAAATTAAAGTATTTTTTTTACCTCTGATGCATGTAAACCTGTTGTAGGAGACTCCAAAACAACATTAGGAAACTTCAAATATTTAAAAGGTTTTTCCTGTGAAAAAAAAATCTTAATGCCTTAAAATAGCTTGAATGTAACTCTACACCCTTGACTCATTTAGTATACGCGGTTCTATGAATATGCAAATTAGCCCCGCCTCCACTCACTCACACCAGCTCAGAGATCCACTCGTTGACGATCGCACATTGACGTGATTGGTTACAAGTTTGTGATGTCAGAAACACCAGCAATTTCAAACCGTGTTTTTGAGACTGTCTTTGGTTCACTGCAGTTTTAAAGAGAAAATACTGAATTGAATTTGCACATGGTTTGTCTTAATGCATAATAATAACACCACATAGACATAAACAACATTAAAAACTTGATTTTCACCACAGGGGGACTTCTAATAATAATAGAGGAAATAAAATAGAGTAAAAATAGCCTATATTTATATTCTGTGCTTAGGGTTCAGGACAGCATGGAGAGGGTTTAGGATAGTCATCTGTTGGGTTAGGATAGTTATCTGTTGGGTTAGGACAGTCATCTGTTGGGTTTAGGATAGTCATCTGTTGGGTTAGGATAGTCATCTGTTGGGTTTAGGATAGTCATCTGTTGGGTTAGGATAGTCATCTGTTGGGTTTAGGATAGTCATCTGTTGGGTTTAGGATAGTCATCTGTTGGGTTAGGACAGTCATCTGTTGGGTTTAGGATAGTCATCTGTTGGGTTAGGATAGTCATCTGTTGGGTTTAGGATAGTCATCTGTTGGGTTAGGATAGTCATCTGTTGGGTTTAGGATAGTCATCTGTTGGGTTAGGATAGTCATCTGTTGGGTTTAGGATAGTCATCTGTTGGGTTAGGATAGTCATCTGTTGGGTTAGGATAGTCATCTGTTGGGTTTAGGATAGTCATCTGTTGGGTTTAGGATAGTCATCTGTTGGGTTTAGGATAGTCATCTGTTGGGTTTAGGATAGTCATCTGTTGGGTTTAGGATAGTCATCTGCTGGATTTAGGATAGTCATCTGTTGGGTTAGGATAGTCATCTGTTGGGTTTAGGATACCGGTAGTCATCTGTTGGGTTAGGATAGTCATCTGTTGGGTGTAGGATAGTCATCTTTTAGGTTTAGGATAGTCATCTGTTGGGTTTAGGATAGTCATCTGTTGGGTTAGGATAGTCATCTGTTGGGTTTAGGTAGTCATCTGTTGGGTTACGATAGTCATCTGTTGGGTTTAGGATCGTCATCTGTTGGGTTTAGGATAGTCATCTGTTGGGTTACGATAGTCATCTGTTGGGTTTAGGATAGTCATCTGTTGGGTTTAGGATAGTCATCTGTTGGGTTTAGGATAGTCATCTGTTGGGTTTATGATAGTCATCTGTTGGGTTTAGGATAGTCATCTGTTGGGTTTAGGATAGTATGATAGTCATTAGGGGTGTGACGAGACGCTTATCTCACGAGACGAGACTAGACACGAGATTGGGCTCACGAGAACGAGACGAGACGAGATTTTTGCACAATTTTTCAGAAATCCTCAATGACAAAATTCATGGCTGGAAAAATAGTATGCAGGTGCATTTTTCAATGTTTTAACTAATAATCTTCTAATACATGTCATTTCAGGTCTACTTTATGAGTATGAATTATCAAATGCATTGAAAGAAAACAATATTCAAGCACTGTAAAAGGTTTTTATTGACTGGCTTTTCTCCTGTATAATTTCACATTAGTCTCTTCAGACCTTACTGTACATTTAAGAGCTTTCAGAACTTCTGATTGAGGCTGTGTGTGACCTCCTAACTGAACTCCTTTTAACACACATTTAACAGAGAAATAAAAACCGTATAAATAACAAAAATAAATAACTGTTTTCTCTTAGTCTTATTAAGTGCAAACAATAAGTGCGAGTGCAACCATAATCAAAGTTAGCACACAGACTCTTTATAATTGTTGTGAAATTGCGGTTTTATTTTGCACCGGCAGTTATAGGGTTAATGCGGGTGAGTTCGGAAAAGGCCGAGAGAAACGAGGCTGTTTGTCTCTACAGTTGTTCTTGCGTTCCGATTATAAGTTCAGAAACGGAGCCTCCCTTGTCTGTTGTCCTTTGTACGCTACAGTGCTCTCTCAATATTCGCAGTGCCAACAGAGACCAGAGCCGCAAATAAACAGTCCAGAGATGGGTATTGGGAGACGGATTATTTTATGTATGCAGCCTAATTTGTGCGCAATGCACATCAGGGAGCTTGTGTTTTACTTTCACTTACAAATTCGTGACCGCGCGTATAGGGAGCAGCGGTGCTGAGCGCGCATTCTAAATGATAAGACATTTACCAGACGTTTAGTCTGTTGCGCAACGAATCCTCCGCCATCATCACGCGATCAGTGAACTGTGATTCGTGCTGCACTGATTGCAACGGCAACTCGTGCTGGATGAGCAGAGCAGACTTTTGCATTAGTTTATAATGGTTTTTATTTTTTTATAAAAACAACAAAACGATAGTTTAGGCGAATGTGAGTGTAGCGGTGGAATATTAATGGGGATATCGCGAGACAGCTTTTTTACTCGACGAGAAATCTCGTCATATTTAGTCTCGCGAGATCTCGTGGCACGAGATCTCGTCACACCCCTAATAGTCATCTGTTGGGTTTAGGATAGTCATCTGTTGGGTTTAGGATAGTCATCTTTTGGGTTTAGGATAGTCATCTTTTGGGTTTAGGATAGTCATCTTTTGGGTTTAGGATAGTCATCTTTTGGGTTTAGGATAGTCATCTGTTGGGTTTAGGATAGTCATCTGTTGGGTTTAGGATAGTCATCTTTTGGGTTTAGGATAGTCATCTTTTGGGTTTAGGATAGTCATCTTTTGGGTTTTGGATAGTCATCTGTTGGGTTTAGGATAGTCATCTGTTGGGTTTAGGATAGTCATCTGTTGGGTTTTGGGTTTAGGATAGTCATCTGTTGGGTTTTGGGTTTAGGATAGTCATCTGTTGGGTTTAGGATAGTCATCTTTTGGGTTTAGGATAGTCATCTGTTGGGTTTAGGATAGTCATATGTTGGGTTTAGGATAGTCATCTGTTGGGTTTAGGATAGTCATCTGTTGGGTTTTGGGTTTGGGTAGTCATCTGTTGGGTTTAGGATAGTCATCTGTTGGGTTAGGATAGTCATCTGTTGGGTTAGGATAGTCATCTGTTGGGTTTAGGATAGTCATCTGTTGGGTTTAGGATAGTCATCTGTTGGGTTTAGGATAGTCATCTGTTGGGTTTAGGATAGTCATCTGTTGGGTTTAGGATAGTCATCTGTTGGGTTTAGGATAGTCATCTGTTGGGTTTAGGATAGTCATCTGTTGGGTTTAGGATAGTCATCTGTTGGGTTTAGGATAGTCATCTGTTGGATTTTGGGTTTAGGATAGTCATCTGTTGGATTTTGGGTTTAGGATAGTCATCTGTTGGATTTTGGGTTTAGGATAGTCATCTGTTGGGTTTAGGATAGTCATCTGTTGGGTTTAGGATAGTCATCTGTTGGGTTTAGGATAGTCATCTGTTGGGTTTAGGATAGTCATCTGTTGGGTTTAGGATAGTCATCTTTTGGGTTTAGGATAGTCATCTGTTGGGTTTAGGATAGTCATCTGTTGGGTTTAGGATAGTCATCTGTTGGATTTTGGGTTTAGGATAGTCATCTGTTGGGTTTAGGATAGTCATCTGTTGGGTTTAGGATAGTCATCTGTTGGGTTTAGGATAGTCATCTGTTGGGTTTAGGATAGTCATCTTTTGGGTTTAGGATAGTCATCTGTTGGGTTTAGGATAGTCATCTGTTGGGTTTAGGATAGTCATCTGTTGGATTTTGGGTTTAGGATAGTCATCTGTTGGGTTTAGGATAGTCATCTTTTGGGTTTAGGATAGTCATCTGTTGGGTTTAGGATAGTCATCTGTTGGGTTTAGGATAGTCATCTGTTGGGTTTAGGATAGTCATCTGTTGGGTTTAGGATAGTCATCTGTTGGGTTTTGGGTTTAGGGTAGTCATCTGTTGGGTTTAGGATAGTCATCTGTTGGGTTTTGGGTTTAGGATAGTCATCTTTTGGGTTTAGGATAGTCATCTGTTGGGTTTAGGATAGTCATCTGTTGGGTTTAGGATAGTCATCTGTAGGGTTTAGGATAGTCATCTGTTGGGTTAGGATAGTCATCTGTTGGGTTTAGGATAGTCATCTGTTGGGTTTAGGATAGTCATCTGTTGGGTTTAAGATAGTCATCTGTTGGGTTTAGGATAGTCATCTGTTGGGTTTAGGATAGTCATCTGTTGGGTTTAGGATAGTCATCTGTTGGCATTTGTACAAAATCATGGCTCAACATCCTACAATATCACCTCAGAGACTCAGTCCATGGACTCCACCCTTAAAGACCCCACTTTCATCCGTCTGGGATATGTGTACACATATTGTTGTTATTGTAATATTTGGTATTTGATCTTCTGCTTGTAGTATTTATCAGCCCTGTAGAGGGCACTGTGGCTGCGCTTTCTTTTTTCGTTGTAACCGTTTTTCCCCCGTTACTTCCCTTAGCGCAGGTGCAGCCATGAACAGCAGCGAGAGCCTCCCCCCCTCCTCCTCCGTCAACGACATCTCCTCCATGTCCACCGACCAGACCCTGGCGTCCGACACCGACAGCAGCCTGGAGACCTCCGCCGGACCCCTGGGGTGCTGCAGGTGACTAACCGCCTGCCTGCGCAACCCCGTGTTCTTCAGAAGGTGAACCCACAAACCTCGGAAAAATGTAATTAACGCAATCAAATTTAAAACATGAGTTAATATGCGTAAAATAATGTACCATGAGTAAATGACGACAAAGTGTGCATTTTCATTCTGAATATGTATATGTATGAATCTTCACTAGTTGCTTTGCTTTGAATCCCCTCATATGGCATCCAAAAAAATAACGAGACTTAAAAAAAAGAGAGTAAAAAAAAAAAGGACTTAATCGGGCATCTCTGTAAAGTGTACATTGACTGGCTGCTATCTAATACCTTGCGATTTTCTGTGCTTCAGTCGATGTGGCAGGGTGGGCTTTTATTTTAATGAGCACTGTACAATAATCGATCAACCCTTGTATTCTGCCCTAATGAGATGATTTTTTTTTTCTTTGCTTGTGCCGAAACCCCCAACTGGTTTCGGATGGGCTGGTGTGTCTCTGTGCGATTCCTTGTAAGGTATAATAATAATAATAATATGTACAATGGCGCCCCCTATCTCTTGTATATATGTAATTGTGTACAGCTGTGAGGTGTTCTCAGAGTGGGACTGACGGCCAGTAGAGGGAGTTTTCGCACACCTTGCCACATTACAGCTAATCACCCGTTTCCCTTTGCCTGTAGTCTTGCATGGTCAGAGAAAAAAGTACTTAAGCTAATTATAACATATACAATTATAGAGAACCGTGTTTATATAACATTTAAGGAGCTGAAGGGTGAATGTGGGTGAATGTATCTGTCGCTCGACAGGAAGTGAGGCTGCTTTAAAGGAAGCCATTGGGGGGTACAAGCACTGTCGCTGTCATTTTCCCACTTCCAACAGCCCTTCCTTTGTGTTTGTGAAACTCGCCCTCTCTGCGGCAGCCTTGCATGCTTTAACTTCACCTTTGAAAGGTGTGTCTAACTAAGTCGAGAGCATGAGCCTCATCTTCACTTTTGGTTCCTTGTTCACATCCACGCAAACTAAATCTCGAAATTCATATTTTTGTGTTGACTGAAGGGAATCAACGTGCTTACTACCTAAACTTCACAGCAGGAGTTTATTATTAAATTGTTGGATTTGGGAAGTGCCTTTGAAATAATGCAGTTTCCTCCTCAAAAACACGAATACAGTAAAAGCGACGGCTCTGATAGAGGTGTCGGATGTGTCAGGTCTGTTTACCCAATCCCACTATCCCCTACTCATATAGATTTCCTAGTGTAGTCTAAGTGTCTGATTTAAAGTCACTGTATGTATAAAAAAAAAATGGGGGAAAAAAGGCACCTGGACAAAAATCTGTTATAAGCCCCAGATCTGAGAACTGCAGTGGCCTCAGACAGTATTTGGACATTTACGACACACTTAAAAATTGTATTATTACATTAAAAGAAAAGAAAAGTTCACACAGGTGTAGTTCATCACATTAAATATCAACATATTCCACCATCGTTTGACAACCGTAAAATGTCCAAAGTTTCGTTTTGAGCAATTTATGTATCATTTAACATATTAGGTTAAAAAAATTCTACTATTATTTTGTTATATGGATTTACACGTATTTTTTTAATAAATGTCTGAAGTGTCCAATTATGCTTTGGGGCCACTGTTTGTTCCCATGTAACCCCTCCACATTCACATTAATTGTTTCATTTTTAAAAAGACGAGTAATGGAGTTTAAATTTTCACAAACACATGGCTGATGTTTTCAGTATTAGGTCAAGTTTAGCTTCATTGAATATACATTATGAAGTACACAGTAAATTGAACATATAATATTTAAGTTGTACGGTTTTGTTTTGTACCTGTATTTGTCTGATTTGATCCGTGTACTAAACATTTTAATAAAGGGATGAAATACACATGATTTTTTTGGGGGTTTGTTTATGTAACAAAGCTCTAATTTTCTAACTCATTATCATCTACACCCTTTTTGTGGACAAAATTGGTTAATTAGTAGCCTATTAATAATTAAATTATTTGTATTTTTAATAACACATTTATGTGGCATTGCATGTTAATGTTTATCTGATTCTGCTTAAAAGGTACACTATGTCAACTTTAGACCCTCTAGCGTAAGAGCGTTGTTTTGGTTGTGCTTCGGCTCTGCGTGATTTCGCGGATGAATATGGTTATCACACTGCTCATAAAAAACGCGCACTATAGGCTTCAGAGAAATAACCAGTTTAGATGGAAAGGATCTCAAGCTAACTAAGTTAGCTGACGATGTTACAGTAGCTTTACCTATTAGTAGACACGGTACTTCCTTGAAAATAAAGTCCAGCACTGCGCTACAATACTAATGAAATGACCCTTTACAATAGAAAATGCTTTGCAATGAGCTCTTTTAGAGAGCTAAGTTAGCCTACATATGACAATTTATCTGTTCAATAAAATACCTTACCTTGTTGAGTAATAAAATCACCATCTCTGCGTCGCTTTTACATTTCAAATCCCTCAGTGCTTGCCATCTCTGAAAAGCCAAGCCGATGTTGATTCTTGTTTCAGTAGGCTACGAGCTTTGTCGCGTTCTCTTTTTTGCCAGCAGGTTCTCCTCTGTTAAACGTTTTATAACAACGGGTGATTTCCCAGAGGTTGGAGATTTAGTGAGCTGCATATCAACCTTTCTCTCTCGTTGTGACAACTAACCTATGCTGCCACTCCAAGAACATTCACGCATCAAAATGTCCGGATCAACTTTTCTCCTTTTACCGATGTGACGAGACACGCACGGGCGAGTGACGTATGCACGCAATTTCCTGCGAAAACCGTCCGGTCAGGTCTAAAATATAAACCCTTATAACAGGCTTACCATAGTGAATCAGGGTAAGACAAAAACATGTTTTGGAAAAAGTATTGATGATGTATTAACTCAATGTTTTTTTTGTGTTCATTTTAAACAAAAAAAGTTACATAGTGTACCTAAGTAGCCTACACGCAGACGTTTGTTTTCCAGTAAACAAATGTGTTCAATTGAATTTTTATTTCTTTTATGACAGACATGCATTTAACATCAATATCGACCCTATAAATGTGATTTCATATCTCATTTCTAGCCTTCTGTCTGTACACTTTCAGAGCTGAATATGAAATCCTGTTCAAACATAAAACCTCCGAATTTTGATATTGAAAGCCATTTAAATTCCCATTTAATTTGCCTGGACATTATCAGAAGTTTCCCGACCTAATCAGACATTTCCAGCATAATAATCAACATAAAAATTCTCACGTCACCACCTTATACGGTACAAAGTAGGCCTAATACATATCATCTCTAGAGGACAGAGAGGGTTCTGGGAGGTCTCCGGTCTCTGCAAAATATTTCAATACGGCTGCTGATGATTTTACAACAGGGTGGACACGTCCATATAGTAGCTTTTGTATTTCAACTGTTAGAATTCAATACTAATTGTAAACCGTTGCGTGTCCAATTTGTTGATTGCATTTCATTTAGGAATAGATGGATAGCAATGTTGTGTGGCATCTTGCATTTTACACAGGTTATTTTTCGACTAAAGGCCCTCGTGTCTGTCGGGTCACTCACAGGGTTCCTTTTTGACTCCATCGTCTCAGTCGTCCATTTTGAAACTCAACTTAAACCAGTTGTTATGAATTATTAAGCTCAAAACGTTAACTTTAAATATGAACTCAAACTGTAAGGCTTCCTCATGTAAGAGGTTGAAATGAGTGTAATGTCGGGCCAGGAGTGTGTGTTTCTCCCGTGGTGCTTGAAACAAAAAAAAACATTAGGATTGATGTCTCAGAATGGCTTCTGATCAAAGTAGGCGTCAACATTGAATGTGTGTACTTTTCAGAATGATATGATGCTGCTTCTGAAACCATTATACGCCTGTGAGAGCGGTGATACTTGGGAAGCCACTACTGTTGCATTGTGGGTAAAGTATTGAGTGTTGAAGCTGAAAGAACGTGGCAGGTGTGCTGTACGTGCTGTATTGTAGAGTGTGACTTTGTCTCGTAACAGTGTGTGAGCAGGGAGCGAAAGATCGGAAATGATGTAACTTAACGATGTGCTATTATGATGTCATCATTTAAACTCAAACCGATTGGTCGAGATGGTGGCCTTAACAGAATTGTAAAATATTCCCTGGTTTTGTTTGAATCTGTTAAAAAACAACAACCCTGTTCATTATCCAGTCTTGAATGTTCATCATAATTAATGCATGTCACTAGATGAAACCGTTCAGCAGCTCTCAGATAACACATCTGTCATGTTATGTTTGAAATGAAGGTATATTTAATGTAATATTTTCGTATGAATTACATGCTTCCATCGAAACAATCTGCACAACAATGTACCGTTGATGAATCTGTGTCACTGCAATCAAAGGAAACACTCAGAGCAATACTGACCATTACCATTGACCTCTTTCACTTTCTTTCGGTTCTCTTATCTTTTATTCCTCCCTTTTTCTTTTCTTCTTTCCTCTTTCCCAGTTCCCTCCTTCCATCATTTTTTCCTTAATTTTCTTTTCTTCGTTTACTTTCCCTCTGTTATCTTTCCTTTCCATTCTTGCTTGCTTTGCTTTATTGTCTTCATTTCGCTTCCATCCTTTCCTTTTTTCCCTCCTTCCTTCCTTAGTTCCTTATTGTTTACTTCCCTCACTTCCTTTTTTCGCAACCATTTTCCTTTTTTCCTTCCTCGTTGCTTTTTTGTTACCTTTCAATTCCATCCTTGCTTTCTTTGCTTTTTTGTCTTCATTTTAGCCTTCCTTTCTTCCTATTTACCTTCCTTCCCGTATTCTTTTTCTTCCTTTCCTTTCTTTATGCATTATTTTCTTTCCATTCTTCCTGTTTCTCTTTCTGTTTCCTTCCTTCTTTGCTCCATCTTTTTTTTATCTTACTTTTTGTTTCCTTCGTTGCTCCCTCTTTTGTCTCTTCATTTGTTTTCCTTCCTTCCTTCCTTCCTTTTTGTTTCCTTTCATCATTACTTTCTGTTTACATTCGTTTCTTTGCCTTTTTTCTTGTTTCTCCATTTATTTTCTTTCTTCCTTTCTGTCAGTCATTCCTTTCTTTTTCTATCTTCATTTTGTTTTCCCTTTTTTCCTTCTTCCTTTTGTTTCTCTTCCTCCCTGCTTGTTTGTTTTTTCTTTCCTTTTTTGTCTTTCTAAGTTTATTCAATGTCAGACATCACAGTTAGTGCAGTAACAAAACTCTTTAAGTGTGGATGAACAATGGATTGTTTTACATGAATTCACACTGTGTATTAATACGAGTAATGTTACGAGTCTCATGGTGATGTTCAACTCAATCAAGTCTTTATGGTTTCATTTGGACTCGGATGGTATTTTTAAGCCTCTTTCTCTCTCCGTCTATCTCTTTCTGTGCTGTCAGTGAGCCCTTCTGTTGAGAGATTAAGATGGAGGCTGTGGTTCTTTTCGACATCTAACGCCATTTTCACACCACCTGCTCCAGGCTGTTGATCAAATCAAATTATTCAAATGCAAGAAAAAATGAGATGGTTTGGGGGGCAAAAAAATAAAAATAAAACTTAAAGATTTAAACAGCACTATGAATTGCTGTTACCACCCGACATTTTAAAGGTACTGTGTATGTAATATAAATATCTGTATGTGACTGAAAATAAACTCCTTTGACCTTGAAATGAATTGTCATCTGTTCTTGAATTCGCATGCCTTTTAAGCTGGCATAGACATGGCGACTGTCTATTTATATGGGTTGTTTTTTAGTTTTTAATTTCCTTTGTGACATCAGTTCATTTTAAATCTTCCTGTGGTGAGAAAAGGGATATTTAAAAAGTATGAATATTCTATGTAGTTGATCAAATAATATGAGGTCATAAACACTGCTTGCATAATAACTGCATTAACAGCAAGGTGCTGTCTAAATTATTATTAGATAGAGCATATCAACACAACATGACCTTCTGCTAATTATTAATAGCCTATTAAGTGAATAACTGAACATCATTACAATCTTTTTATAACTGAAATATTTGGACATGATATAACACATAATTTAACACGTAATTACATTAAAGATGATTGTGGGTATACATGAGTGCAAATACGTGTATGCTATCAGGCTAATTGCTAATTGCTATGCTAGTACAGTACATAAGCTAAAACAGACATTTAGTCATTAGAACGTAGTTCAAACAGCATTATCATAACATGATTTTGTAGGAATTGTAATCAGGAGAGTGCCTATTAAAAAGAGAGTAAAGAGAGTATACCTATTAAAAGTAATGGGATCGCAATGGAGACACGATTTCGAGGGAGGACCTGATTTGTCCCCGCACCTGCTCGACCGGTTACTTCCTGAGGACCTGCTCAAATGAACGATTCATTCAAGAATCAGACATCACTGAGAATCACTAAGGAATGAGTGGGATTATTGAGAGAGAGAGTGTGTGTGTTCAGAATGTGGGGTTTTAAAAGAGTGAGGAATAAAGCAAGGTTTGGTTTTTCAATTCAAAGCAAAGAGAGAGAGGCTTCTCTCATCTTTTTTGTTCTTTCGTTTTTTTTTTCTCTTTTTACCATTTTCACAGAATCCAGCAGATTTTGAAGAAGAGCTGTCTTTCTATTAGGGTCATTTTTGAGATCTGTGCTTTCGGTCCTTCTCAAAGCTGGGCTTGAAGAGTCCTCAATTTAGGACTCCTGAATATAAATGAGTTCTTCAACACAGAGGCGTCACCATATCTGCTTATTTTAATACCTTACCAATGCATATGTTTCTTCTCAGACCGTCTATGAGCCAACCAGGGAGTTTGTACCATGGCACAAGCTCAGGTTTCCATATAGGGTTCCTGTAGTCATGGAAAAGCTGGAAATATCAGAGACGTTTTCAAAGCAGTACCTTGAAATTAGTTAGAGAGGTTGAA